AGAATCAACTCGTCGAGAGCTACAATTTGATGTATAAATATGCAATGTTTCGTTCATTTTCACCGACTTCGGTTTCCCCCTCACCAAAAACTTGAGGTGTCTAGAAAACCACTTTCCACACGTTTTTTCAAAAAAGCGTAAGCGAGACCTTTAGGTTATTTTTGATGCTCTACACGATGCGCAAACTGAAATTATCGCGACAAGATGCTCTGTATAAAGTGTATAAACGTGTTCTTTTGCGCAGCAGGCGATTTTATTCAAATTCGGGATTTGAGTGGGAATTTGACACAGTAAAAGAAATGAAGCTCTAGAAGTTTGTGATTGGAGATCATAGAAGAATTATTCTACTTTAAGATAAAATAAACGCGATCGTAAAATGTTTGGTTTTATCGAGTTATAAAATTTTACCAGAAATTATCATAAAACTGCAGTTTAAAAACGATGTTTTTTTAATGGACAAAATCAATAAAAGAAAAACTCTACTCCACCCACCTGTGATTATGAAGAGTTTTAAATATAACCAGTTGATAGAGCTTCTTATAAAACGTCTAGAATAGTCTGGGGTAATTATAGCCAGACACAAACTTTTTCTCAGTATTGTGGGAATAAACAAAAAACAACTTCCATCGTCTTTCAGAAGCCGATTTTGATAGTATGCCAAATGGCAAAGTTATTCAGAATCCTAAACTCTGTCACATATGCAAAAGTCACAAAAAACTGAATGAGAAATAACCTTAAAAACATCTCCAAAATATTTTCTTAACTTTTTAAGTACTAGTAGTAAAGGATCTGACTGACCAATCTCTCAGAGCAGTAGACTGAAAGAAAAAACGTTCAGACTATCAGATTCTTCAGAATGTCATCTTTCTGTTGATAATATGATAAGGAAATCATATTCAACTTTAATGTCGTTTTCCTCCTAGAATTTTATTCTATTTTATAAATTTATTTACAACTGCTAAACGTTTCGAAGTTTAAACCGACCCTTTCTACAAGTCGTACAAATTATATGAATAGCAAGTAATTAGAAGAGAAAAGAAGACACATTATATACGAGGGCTACTTAATATATGTGCGCACAGGATGTTAAACAGCTGCAAATAGTGATGTATAATAGGATGATGTTTTGAAATTACACTTATTGAAATTCGGTAATGAGATCACAGTAAAAGATGGTAAGATGATGATTGTGAAAGTTACGATTGAATATGTGTAAAGATGAGCAGCTAAAATGTATTGTTAACTGACATTGTAGTGAATAGATGAAATGGCACATGTACAAAAGGTGAAAAAATGAATAATAAGTACAATTGTCAAAGATCAAAATAAAAGTATTTACTTGCTAAGATTTATATTAAGCTCGTGGTTGTGCTCTTAAACCATATTTGAATTTTTGTTGTGATCCTAACTAACTATATTATGACTGTTTATTTGACTATTATAGTGACTATTATTATTTGAATTTATTGTTTTTATTCTAAAAAAGACCATCTGATTTTTCCCTTATCCATTTACTGGTACTCGTTTTTCATTGATTACATATCATTCGTTTATTATTATATGATTTATTTGCTATTGAATAAACTGCTTCTAATACTTTTTTACGATGCTTATTTTCTTTTCTATCAAAAATTAAACTTTTCTCAAATTGAATACTGCAACCTTAACTACTTCTTAGCATCAAGCTTATTGCATGCATTAATTTGGTTTTATTTAAAATAGTTGTTAACATTGTTAACATTATTACTTCTATTTAAATTAACATTAACCTCTTTTTTGATTCTATTTTTAATATTTTTTGAAAAATGACTATTTTCTAAAATTTTTTGTAAATCATTTAAATCTTTTTCATTTTTGTGACTATTGTTGACTATTTAAACACGATTTGTCATATTTTTAACGATATTGTTTTTGATTGCTGAATTGTAATTCGAATGAAAATTCAAAAAGGTAATGTACTGTCTCTTTTCGATACCAACTGGTTGAGAAATTTTTGTTTAATTTGTCAATTGCTATTAAAATATCCAAAAATGGTTCCTAATTAATGGTTTCTAATGTTTCTAAATTTAAAAAAAACAGTCAAAAACAAAACGTCTGGAGCAGTTCATTTTCTGTACAATTCATGCTGAGTTATAATAACATACTACTTGTTTTTCTCACTTGTTTCATCAACATAAATATTTAAACCACACATTTTAGGACTATCAAATTCTCCATTATAGGAGCTAATAATACATCGGCACTTGGACTAATTGATGAATACCATAATCCCAGCAGAATAATATTTTTTCCGAAATTCTCTAACTAGTAGAGGGTTCTCGACAATAATAGCCACAACCTCGATAAGGCAGAACCAAAAGAAAACTTATACAGACTACCAATCATACTTCTATAGCTTACGGGCCACAAACTAAATTTGCTACTTTTTAACATTGGTTTGCCATCTGTACTAATCATCAAAGTGAGTGAATTGTCTCTTAGATAAACTATTGATGTAATTATCACCTAGAACAAATATCCAATTTTGTGAAAACCATAGAATTAGGAGAAGATAAGTTCCACTAAAACTCACACTAGACTTTCCATTATTTCACTTGATTTCTTTCCTACTGATGGATAGGAACTTCTATGCCTATCTGACTGAGCGTTACCTTTGATTCTTACAATGAACAATATCACACGTTGTTACATTTTTCTTGTGTTTCTGATACCATTTGATTAATTGGATATTCGACCGAACAACTCGTTTAAGTTCATCTAATATTGATATAATTATCAATTCTGAATTTAATATTTGTTTTCTAGGTAAATAGACAGCATGAAATCCGTGGAAAAAAAGAGTGAAATTAGGCTATCATATTTAGGAAATACCTTGAAAGACCAAAAGTTATTGCACAAGACGATGTCGACTTGAAGCAAAAAATTTTCTTCAAGCGGCAGCTATAAAGGTTAGACTCTCTCTTTCGCAATGGGACTTAACGTAGATTTGACAAACACTTGACCAGCGACCAATTAACAACTTTCAAGCTCAATTTTACCGTTGAAATATCCTCGTAGAGCAATGTATCACTTATAGCTTATAAGCGGGCTCAGATCAACAGTCATGTTATGTTCCATTTCGAAAGAGAGAATCTAACCTTTACAGTTGTCGCTTGAAAAAAGTTCTTTGCCTCAAACCGACATCATTTTGTGCAATAATGTTTGATCTTCCAAGATATTTCCGAAATATGATGGCCTAATTTTACTCTTTTTTTTGTATGGGTTTCTGTAGCAGAAAGATAAGATTCCGAAGGATCTGATAGTCTGAACGTTTTTTCTTTCAGTCTACTGAGAGATTGGTCAGTCAGATCCTTTACTTCTAGTAATTAAAAAGTTAAGAAAATGTTTTGGAGATGTTTTTAGGGTTACTTCTCATTCAGTTTTTTGTGACTTTTGCATATGCGACAGAGTTTAGGATTCTGAATAACTTTGCCATTTGGCATACTATCAAAATCGACTTCTGAAAGACGATGGAAGTTGTTTTTTGTTTATTCTGTGAGATTTATACGAAATTATTATAATTCCCCCATGAAAAATAGTAGTGCGGTTATAATTACCCTGGCCCGCATATGTCAAAAAAAGTGATTGTTTCTTGTGATTTTACTAATTTCTCATTAAGTAATTAACGTTAAAGTTAATTGACTGGCAATTCATCAGTGGATACAGCTCAAAATTCTCTATAAGATGAACTAATTTTAATTGAAAACGTAGAAATTCATCGTTGAATCAAAGCTGATTTACATCATCATTTTTGATGTGGTTGTTATAATTACCTCAACGGTATACGTTGACTGGTTATAATTATGCCAAATGGAGGAATTATAACCAGTTAAGAGCAACGCACTGGAAATTGAATGGCACTAATTAACGGTAATGAATTTTCAGACAATTTTTACATCAGTGAATAGCTGAAAGTCATATGTATCTACCTGTGTAATACCATATTTCTCCGACTAAAAATGGCTTAACCATTTTCAAAATACTGAGAAAAAGTCCATGTCTGGTTATAATTACCCCTGCTCACTCTTTTTTATATTCTAAATATAAAGTGCTAAAATTGTAAAAGCTATTTTTAGGTTATTAAACTGTCGAGATTGAATCTTCGCAGGATTTCCTCTGTATTCGTTTACTTCTACAGTATATAGAAAAGTATTCGATATGTTTTTTGTAGAGAATAAATTTCTTATTAAAAAGTTTTTTCTTCCCCAACAAGACTGATATTCATACAGAATGACCGTGATTAGATTGTGTTAAGGTAAAAGTAAATATCATAAATGTTATTGTGTTTTGAAATGAAACATACCTAGTTGTGTTTCATAAGAAAGACAAAAACCTATATGAACGGATACCTTTAAGAATAACTCATCATGGATGATCAAGAAACTGAAAGACAACATGAGATTGTTCCTCGAAAAATATCCTTTTTGGATTGTGCAGAAGATCAAATATCCTCAGGTGCTAAAACTGGTGTCATTGCCGTTATTGAAAATGAACTAAATGAGAAACAAAACGATATACATCTTTCCATATCCAATGATCCGTTGAAAAATGATTTTACATTGTTTAAAATATACAAGAATTTATTTGTATTATCAATATCCTTTGTATTAATGTTCACAGCTTACAATGGTATAGTAACACTACAATCCAGTCTAAATACAGCTGGAAATGTAATTTATTAATTGTTATCATGTTTGAGAATAAGATCATTTCACATTAATTTCAACTTTATAGGTTGGTGTCAATTCGTTGATAATTACCTACTCATTTTTAATTGTGAGATCATTACTATTTATTCGCTGCTTTATCTTAAAGCATCCATGTTTCAGTTTAGCTCTATTTTCCTAATAAGCATCTTAATGGAAATATTTGGATTAAAGTACTCAATCATTCTGGCTGAAATTGGTTACATTTTGTACATAGCAGCTAACATCTATCCACTACCACCCTTAATGTACATCAGTAAGTGTCTATATCTAACTTTAATCGCCATATGACAAGAACCACTGAACTTTATTGTTGCTGTTGGGAATGGATCAATTCTAGAACACTTCTCAAGCTATTTGTAACTAATTGTCTGTAGCCAAAATAGTTGACGAGTCTTATTGGCGAATGAAAATACAAACCCCGTTATTTCTCATTTTATAGAGAAAAATCTGCTGGACAATCTTATGCATTCAAAACATTTTGAATAAGTATCTTTGGAGCTAGACTTTTATTCTCAATAATATAGAAAAAAGAATTGATGCATGCCTAGTAGCATTCTATGGCACTCACACAGATAATGGTTTACAAGAATCCAGATAGTATCTAATAAAATCAGGGTTGGATTTTAGGTGCAGCATTAGTTGGTCTTGCTGCAGCTCCACTATGGACAGCCAAGGCAACATATTTAAATAAACTTGCACAATATCATGCCCAACATCACAAACAAGCGGAAGAAATATCTGTTAGTTTATTTTTTGGCATTTTTTTCGCTTTTTTCGGTAAGTTATGTTCTAGTTTTCTTTTATTTAAAATGACATTTTTATTATATTAATTTATCACAGGAACAAATACGATTTTTGGAAATCTTATTAGTTACTTTGTTCTAAAGCGGTCAAGCAATGCAGACAAGTTCAATTGTGGAGTTGATTTTGATCCAAAAACAGCAGTTAAGCTTAATCAGACAGGCAGTGTGGATATAACAACCGTAAGATTAATAATGAATATTGCAAAAGCGAATGAATTTTGTTCACTTGTTGATCCATAGAGGTATACATTATGTGGAATATTTGTTGGCGCTGGTGTATTATCCATGCTTTTACTATTTTTTACAATAGATCAAATACGTTTATCTAAAAAACGTAAGTAGAATATGAAAGACTATTATAACACAATAAGAGATTTTAGAAGATTATTTTTATAATCTAGAACCACTAAAACAATCACTTAAGAAAAGTCTCGAAGTAATAATATCATTAACAAAATGGCAACATATTGATCAGTTATTTCTGATACCAGTGACAATGTGGTCTACAATTGAGACAGCATTTTTGACAGCACAATTTACTCGAGTGTGATGAGTTAAAACAAGTTATTTTTAATGCTAAAAACATCAAAACTTTTCATTGTTTGTAGGGTTTTGTAACGTGTCTGGCTGGTATTCGGTAATTATTTCATTCTTCAATTTTTTTGACAAAGAACTAATATTTGAATTGTTTTATAAGATACGTTGGTTTGATTATGGTATGTGCTGGTGTTTCCCAGGCGATTAGTAGTTATGTCTTTGGTCGCCTAGTAAAATATACCAGTCGTCTATTTTGCCTCATTGTGGCATTCGTATTGAATTACGGAACGATTATACTCATGTTTTTATGGAAAGCTAATCCTGATCAACTGTTTCTACTTTTTATTATTGCTGGTATCTGGAATGTAGCAGATGCTATCTGGCAAACGCAAGTCATAGCTACCTATACTGTCCTTTATGCTGAAAGTGATCCGACAGTGTTAGCAAAATATCGTCTCTGGAAAAGTGTTGGCTTCGTTGTCACGTACGGAGTAAGTATAAAAATTTCCTCTATGATCTATATTTCCAGGTTCAAAATGTATTTATGAATGGAACTTTTTTTGTTTTTTTAATAGTACGCCAGTTATGTCACAATTCGTCTGTCATTAATATTGCTGCTAGTGTATTTGACAATTAGTTTGATATGTTACTTGATCTTGGAAATTAGAATTCGATTGAACAAACGTCCCATCGTGAATCCAGCACCTAGTATTCCATTATCAGAACAAAAATAAAGTGTAACTCATCTTTTATGTTAGTTCGTACTTTTTATTTTATAGATCACTGACCTTTTCCAACTGTCTAATCGCTTTCTGGTTGGAACCTAGTGGGTTATAGGTTATCGACCACGCTGATTCCGAATATCAACATGAGATGGTCCCTTAGGCCTTCAAAGACCCGTTTTTTAGAAAACTATTTTGCCAAAAACCTTGAAGGAAGGCCTTGTGACCCATCTCATATCGATATTCGGAATCAGCGTGGTCGATAACCTATAATCCACTAGATTCCGACCGGAAAGTGATTAGACAGCTGGAAAAGGTCCCTAGTGAGTAGAAGAATGTAAATATTGTAGTAAATGAGTGTTGAGTGTTTTATTATACAGAAGAAATCTAAAAACTATACAGGAAACACAGCAGCAAATTCATTCTGTTTTGTAGTAAAAGAATATCTCTTTCTCTATAGCTTTTTAGATTTTTACTGTACAATAAAGCATCCAACAGATTTTTATAGAGAATTTCAAGACAAATCTATAGGAAAATACATTGGTCTTGAAGCACCGAGAAAGCGGGGATATGAACAAAACAAAAATGCTCGATTTTATCTGTGCCACCCGATACATCTCAATTCATTGGAAATTTCTGGCTCAAACTAACATTGAGCTAACTCATTTTGGGTTTACGAAAGATGCACACGGAAAGTTCCGTACCGCGAAAGCTACGCACTGACAGGTTACGCACGAAACAAGAAATTCTTTCAAGAAAAAAATATTATGGAGTTCAAGAATTTGATACACAGCACAGTCCAACATTTTG